AGCATCGGTTGCGAGATATGGAGCGCCGGCTCCGTAGGTTGGAACGCAACGGCGATGACTGGCTTCAGGCCCCAGTGCCTGTTTTGGACAACATGAATAAAACTATAGGGTCTTCCAATAACTGGCCATTAGAGGGCATTAGGGCCTGGGCATCCGATGGCGAAACTTCAGGCACAGCAGACAGGATGGACCGGGATATGGAAAAGACGCGACTAACACGGCGGCCCAGCTTATCCCAGGCCAGACTCCTGGAGAAGTTGACTAGGCATGCGTATAGCGACGATGCATGGAGTGATAGTGTGAGCAGGAGTGACGACGCAAGCGGGCTGGGGACTATTGAGCCGCTGATGAGGGAATTGGCTGGAGAGGCAAGGCGATGGCAGGGAACGACGCAATCGCCAGTCATTACGAAAGGCGGACAATCCCACCCCATGCAAGGTTAATAAAGGTGGTGCAAGGTCCATTTCCAAATTTTCATCATGGCGAATATTTCTTTTATTAGGGCAATGGTCTGCAATCTCAACATTATAGTGCGCCAAAAACAAAATATACGACAGATAGCATTCGGTGTGCCAGCAGCAACTATGGGTGCAGGGTGCGAACGTGGTAGAATTGAGCGTCACTTGGGTATTCCTCCCTTGCATCAATATGCCAAAAAGTGATGTTAAATCAGGACCTGAATATGGATATTAACCATGTACAGTGCTAGGTTGTATAAATTATTGGCTGAACATGTGATACTGTTTACAGAACGGGAATTCGAAGTGTCGAGTTGTCGTCGAATGGAGTCGGCGCATTGTAACTGGCGTCTTACACGGGCCGGCTGAAGCAATAGTCACTCGTCACCTGCGGGTAAAAAAAAAAGTAAAAGGAATCAATCAGTATTGTTATTTTAAAGGCTTTGAAAGTGGCTTCGACCTAAATCTACCTCGAACATCTCCAGAATAACCATTTACCCAGAAAAGTATAGTTCACAAGTCAAGAGTACAAGCAAGCTCAGTCAATGACGTAGCTACTAGCACTGCATCTCTCATCCAGGGTACATAAACACCAATACTCACCGAGGCCCACGCAACGCAACACAGATACAAATGCAAATGCAAATGCAAATGCAAGTGACAAGACAAAAATGTCCACCCCCTGGATATTCATATGCCCGTCCAGCCGCGGAATCGGGCTCGCCCTGACGCGCCACCTGCTCCGGACGACACGCCTCCCCGTCCTGGCGACGACTCGCCATCCGAACCCGGAGGTTTCCAAGGCCGCCATCCTGAAGGGCTTGGACGGCACTCAGCACGGCGACTCGGCCTCTTCGCGCCTGCACCTCGTGCCCGTGGACGTGACGGACCCGCCGTCGGTGGAAGCGGCCTCGCACACGGCGCGGCGGCTGTTCCCCCCGGACCGCCACCACCTGCACCTGTCGCTTGCGGTGCCGGGGGTCCTGACGCCCGAGAAGAGTCCCGCGCAGGTAGACGCCGGCGCGAGCCTGGCCATGTTCCGGGTGAACACGCTGGGGCCGCTGCTGCTCATGAAGCACTTTGCGGAGTTTCTGCCGCGGCGCGGGACGGACATGGGCGGCGGGGAGACGGACGCGCTGCCCGCGCACGCTACGTGGGTGTTCATGTCTGCGAGGGTCGGGTCCGTCGCGGACAACAGGTCTGGGGGCTGGTTCTCGTACCGCGCCAGCAAGGCTGCGGTGAATAGCGTCGCCAAGAGCTTGGATGTGATGCTCCGGGCGAGGAGTGGCGACAAGGCCGTGGCCATGGCGTATCATCCCGGGACGGTGAGGACCGGGCTGAGCAGGGAGTTTTGGGAGAGGGTTCCGGAGGAGCAGCTGTTTAGTCCCGAGTACGCGGCGGAGAGAATGGTCAGCGTGGTGAATGGGTTGCATCTTGGTCAACGGGGGAGGTGTTTGGATTGGAAGGGCGAGGAGATTCCGCCTTAGGATGGAATGAAACAAGGGGCATTAAATGAGTATTATTTCATCTATTCTTCAAAGAAATAGGTTTTTTTTCTCTTCAACTCTTTACCATGGCTGAACCTACAATTCCACTTCCTGGAAGGACGCGCCGTCTGGTGTGCCAGATGGCTTCTCTCCTACGTCTCTGCCTGCGCCGTCGTCGCCTGCGTGTGTTTCGGCCGCGTCGCCTTCATGATTTGAGGTGCTTGGACGCAGGGCGACCTTTTGCTCTTCCATGTCTTCGAGTCTCATTTTTTGCTCTTCGGCTTGCGACGGCGTCTTGGACTTTTGCTCGGGCTCTTCCTCTGCTTCTTTCTCGGCCTCCTGCTCCACTTCCGCCTCTGGTTCATCTACCTCATCCCCATTCTTAGTCGCCTCTGTCGTCTTCGCGGCCTCAGGGCTGGGGGCCGGGGGCTCGTCCTTGACAGGAACCGGCGGGGGTGAGATGGTCTCGCTACTAGGAGGCCCGGGCCTCATTGCATCCAGATAGAACTTGGTGACACCCAGAATGCGGCCATTCTTCTCACAGGCGTCCACCCATTCCGGCCGTACCACGGGAATATTGTTTTCAACGGCCTTTTCCCAAGCTGTACCTCTCCCCTCTGTGGTGACAAAATGTGTAGTATCGATGCGCACCCCATCCGCGATCTTGGCGCCAATACGCTCCACAGCCTTGCCCAAGTTTTCCTTGAGAGCTCCGGGCAAAATGCCGGTTGTGATGGTGATACCGCTCAAATCGGTCATCTTATGCGTACGCACAGTCACCTTCTCACTCATACGTGTCCCAGCAGTGGTCCTCAACACAAGGTGGAATGTGTACTCCGTATCGACAGCCAAGCCACTGATCTTGGTGCTGTGCATCTGCATCGGTCGGGGTATGTTTCCGGCCTTTTGGCCATTGCGATACAGACTGAGGGATATCAAATCGGCCGTGGCAAGCTCGATTGGGTCCCACTCGAGAACAACTGACGTCTGGGTGGCATTGCGACAGCGGAGAACGGGGCTGGCAGGCTCAGAAGCGCCAAAGGACTGGTATATGCGATCTTGTAGGTCGCGAAACTTTTGCTCTTCGAGTGATTCTTTTTCGTTGTTTTGAGAGACGGTGATGTCGACGATGCTACCAGATGAAATGTTCGGGGGTAGGAGGATGGAGGGGAACTCAATCTGTGCAAGCTGTTAGAAACCAATCATATATTTCAAGGCGACTCGTTGGAGAGGTTTGGCATACCAGCCGCTTGTCCGGCGTCAGGAGGACCGTGACTCCAGCGTCAACCTTTCCGACGGTGAGAGAGACGAGCATATTCCTCAGATGATGATCGCGGAGTTGAGAGTTGTGTCCCTGGGGTTGGCGGTGGTGCTCCTAGGCACTCCTGAACAAAGGGCCGCGCAATCGGGCCAGTTTGCTGGATGGATTATTCGCAACGACCTTGGTAACAAATCTTGTTTTTGCCTGCAAAAACATCGAACCAGGTCGAATATGTTGGGTTCTGAACTACCTAGGCAGTTGAAGCTTTGGTTTCGAGGCCAATGGGAGTCAAATGTCGGTAGCAAGTCAAAGTGCTCAAGTGTCAAGAACTCGAGGTGCTGCATGTGTGGTTGAATCTACTCTGGACAGGAAGCTGGCTTGTGATTCGTCGCAGCTCCACTTGAGCAGTTGGCTGGTCCATTGTCTGAGTTGGAAGGAGCGATGCTGGCCATTGGGAGTGGGTCGAGGGCTGTTCAATGTTGAATACAAAATGAATAAAGTCGAATAGCAACTCTGTACTTACTCCTCGTACACTTGGGGATTTGCCTCGTACCAACGGACTCATTCCATCATTGTTAGAATTGAGTCACACCCCCTATTTTGCAAGTACGCGCAGTCGTGTCGAACTCTACAAACATTCGCTGGGTCTCAGCCAGTGACAGACGAGGCGCAGTGGCCATTCTTCGATGATAGTGCCCTCTTTTCCTGTACTTGTTTCCAACATCTAGTTTCTTCTATTCCCCGTCCTATATTCCACCAAAGTCAGAAGTTACTTTTCCTGATGTCTAGCTATTCATCATAACTCCATCCAATTGCAGTTATGAGAGAGCCATTGAAGCAAACACCACCTAGCTTCATCCCGTACAAGTCGGGTGATCGTACCCCCCGAGCCTTACTGGGCTTATGCCGATATTTTGTCCCGAGTGCCCAGAGCGTCAGTGTCGCCAATGCAACTCGAGGCTTAAACGAGCCATGTGGCACACCGAGGCTGTTCAGCCAAGAGTTCCTGCCGAGAATACGGAGCAACCGGCTCACCTATCCATCGATTGCCCCGTTCATAATACATGGCATGGCGTAAGGGGCGTCAAGGAACTAACGCTGAGTCAGACTACGCCCGAAACTTATTATTGCGCTCCGTATCCCGCAGGCTGACGAGATGTAACTGTGCGGCTTTCATTCATTCGGTATGGAAGAGTGGGGACCGAAACGTTGATGCAACAGCGAAGAACTCGATGTACAAGAAACATTTGCCCCAAAGCCCAGCAGCTGGCCGTTATCCATCTCACCAATCAGAAACCTCTGCTATGAAATTGTTCTATTTTCGAGATGCTGCTTTCATGCAGCACGCCCGGCCCTCTGGGGTCAAATGTTCCACCTTGGCGAATCAAAGCAGTTTTCTTATCGAATGATCTTCGCATAACGCCCTAAAATCTTTCTCCATGCAAACGTGTTCATGTACATACATTCTCCGCTCCAATATCTCGACTGGCTGTTGCCGCCTACGCCGAGATTGTTTACAGCTGCAGGTACTCGATACTACGCTGGGATCATGTAAAAGGAGGCTATGGTATGCGGCTGACCTCTTACCACCACGACTCAGCCCAAGGCTGCAGCTAATATAACAATTGAGTTTGCTTGCTGCAGGCCCGCCGGGGTGCTCGATAATGTAATAATTTTTTTGTATAAATAAGAGGAGCCATTTGGCAGTCTCGGACTACTCGTCTGAATTCTGTTTTCATACTATAACAACAAAAATAACTTGATACCCCTACATTTCACTTCTCAGACACCAACATGTCCTTCGAAAAGAAGTTTCAAGCTGGTGAGACTTACGGGGATCCCCGTACAGAATCATCGCATTTTATGACTGATGCCGCCGACATTGCCGAATATATCTGGAATAACGCTGTTGGCGTCCAAAATCGGACGTCCAAAAAGGAGATTATAGAACTTTTGAGAGAACTCTTACATAAAGGAGAACCAATTGACGACAAGAAGGGGTTAGTAGCATTCAGCATCTGGAATGAACGTTTCTGACAAGAGACAGCACCACCGAGCTCCTGATCAGCATTCTTACAAGCCTACCCTCCACATCAAAACTTCGTACTCGACTCACCAGCAAGTTTATCGACAGGCTGTGGAGTAATATCCAACATCCACCACTGAGCTATGTTGGAGGCGATGTCAAGTATGAGGTTGTCAATCCCCACGAGCCAGTTTCCAAAGACGACAATGAGGCCTATAGCACGATTGAGTTCAAGGCTCCTGATAGCGACATAATGCTACGGGAGCGCATGCCAAAAGTCCCCGACGGTACCTATCAATACCGATTACCTGATGGGAGCTTCAACAGTGTCCTTCAGCCTAACTTGGGAAAAGCCGGTACGCCTTATGCCAAGACTGTCCGTCCGCTAAAGCGGCTTCAAGGAGTCAAGCCTGACCCGGGTCTACTCTTTGATCTTTTGATGGCCCGCGATGAGGATAACTTCGTTGAGAACCCTGCTGGCATCTCGTCTATGCTCTTCTACCATGCATCTATCATCATTCATGACATCTTTCGCACTAATCGTACGGACATGAACAAGTCTGATACGTCGTCATATCTTGACCTGGCGCCCCTGTACGGTTCATCACTCAAGGATCAGTTGGAAATCCGTACCATGAAAGAGGGCAAGTTGAAGCCCGACACCTTCCATGAGAAACGGCTATTAGGGCAGCCCGCCGGTGTCAATGTCATGTTGGTCCTCTACAGCCGCTTCCACAACTACGTTGCCGACATCTTATTAAAAATCAACGAGAATGGACGGTTTACACTGGCATGCCCGCCAAATGCTAGCCCTGAAGACAAGGCTCGAGCTGTAGCCAAGCAAGACCATGACATCTTCAACACCGCTCGTTTGATCGTTGGCGGGCTTTATGTCAACATATCCCTGCATGACTACTTGCGAGCCATCACCAACACCCACCACTCTAAGAGTGATTGGACATTGGACCCTAGGATCGAGATAGGCAACCAATATGATGGCGAGGGTGTTCCTCGGGGCGTTGGCAATCAGGTCAGCGTCGAGTTCAATCTGATATACCGATTTCATTCATGCATCTCCAAAAAAGACGAGCGCTGGATTAATGATTTCTTTCTTAAGCTTTTCCCGGGCCGTAACCCAGACGACTTGAGTAACGTGAGCCATGTCGAGCTTGGTCAGGCATTGGTGGCCTTTGAACAGAGTATTCCCAAAGATCCTAGTGTTCGAACATTTGACGGCCTAGAACGTCAGGCCGATGGCACATTCAAAGACGAGGACCTTGTCCGCATTCTAAAAGAGGCCATGGAGGACCCAGCTGGTGCCTTTGGCGCCCGTATGGTCCCTAAGGCGCTGAAGGTGGTCGAAGTTCTCGGTATCAACCAAGCTCGCAAATGGCAGGTTGCGTCCTTGAACGAATTTCGTGACTTCTTTGGACTCAAACGATATGATAAATTCAGTGATATCAACTCAAACGAGGAGATTGCCAACATCCTGGAGAAGCTGTATGCGGATCCTGACATGGTGGAACTTTATCCGGGTCTCATGATTGAGGACATTAAGCCCGTCCGCAATCCTGGTTGCGGAATCTGCCCAACTTACTCAGTCGGCCGCGCAATCCTTTCTGACGCCATCACGCTCGTGCGGTCAGATAGATTCAACACAATCGACTATACGGTCGCCAATCTCACAAGTTGGGGCTACAATGAAGTACAGCAAGATTACAAGACTCTTGGTGGTTCCATGCTGTACAAGCTCATACAACGAGGTGTTCCCGGCTGGTTCCCCTTCAACTCCGTAGCCGTTATGCAACCCATGTATACAAAGAAAGCCAACGAAAAGATTGCTCAGGAGCTTGGAACGCTGGGCCAGTATACGCTGGACGACCCAAAGCCTCCAGGAATGCCCATCACAATTTCCGCAAATGCCTCGATTAAACAAATATTTGATAACCCCGCACAGTTCGCTGTGCCTTGGCTCAAATCATTCAACTGCTTGTTCCCGGGAAAGAAAGATTTGGGTTGGTTTATGTTGGCTGGTGACGAAACCCATGGCTATGCGAATCGTGCTGGTTTTGGCAAAGCAATGGGCAATATTCCACACTTGCATCATGCCATAAACGAGTTCATCCATGGCGTTGGCACACAGATGGTCCAAAAAGAGACCTTCAGACTCAAAGAGGGCCTTAATCAGGCTGACCTGGTCCGCGATATTGCTATTCCATTGTTGACAAGGCTACTCGCAGACCTTTTCTACTTTGACTTGCGCTCTGATGAGAATCCAGACGGCAAACTAGGCACGGTCGATCTCTATCAGCACCTGATGAATATTCGCGCCTGGGGGGATAATACCGACTCTGGAGAGGCCTGGAACCGTCGCCGTCGTGCTAAGGAGAGTCTTGAGGTCATCATCAAGTCCACTCGGAAGCTAGTTGACGAAGTTGCTGTTAGTGGTGGTTTTGGAATGGGCGTCGTCTCTGCCTTGACGAGTAAATTCACCCGCAAGGCTCACATAAAGGAGAACTCTTTGAGATCGTGTGGCTTGAAGCTTGTTGAGGAGCTCCTGGCCCAAGGAAATTCGGCTGAGAGGGTTGTTGACAGCCTATGGCTGACGGCCTTTGGCGGTGTCGGGCCTCCAGTCAATACAGTAAGTGTTTGTTGTTATTCTTTGTATCTATTCCACTAAAGATGCTAATTCAATTGTAGTTTTACGAAGTCCTGGAATTCTTTCTGCGGCCCGAGAATGCATCCCTGTGGGCTGATGTGCAGGACTATGCTCAAAAGTCTGATGATAGCTGCCTTCGTGCCTATGTTGTTGAGGCACAACGTCTCACGAGTTCACAACGCGTTCTGCGTACCGCGACGCAGCCGGCTGAAATGGAGGGCAAGTCAATTCAACCGGGTAATATGATTATTATTATGCTTGTAAGTTCGAGCTTCTGCTAATTCTACCTCGGCACCTTTTGCCCCCACATTGTTATTCTGGAAGTACAAGCCTAGGACAGAAGTGCTAATTACATTCTAGGGCGAGGCCGGGCGTAATCCATCAGAGGTCTCTAGCTCCGACAAGTTTGACGCAAAAAGACAGGCAGGCTCTGCGGCTCCCTTCAGCTACGGTCATCACCCTTGTTTTGGCGACGACATTGCACTCGCCTTCGTGACCGGACTAGTGAAACTTTGCGCCGGCCTCAGCCAGCTACGTCCGGCACCGGGGGCGATGGGACAAGCCAAGACGATCCGCGTTGGCGACGACAAGTTCTATCTTAATGACAGCTGGTCATACTTTAGCCCTTATGCCAATAGTAAGCTCTTCCACATTCTGTGCTTTACATTTGATAAATTTGTATGTCCAAGGTTCTAACCAGCTCGTAGCCTGGAAGGTCCACTTCAATGGTCACGGAAAAGGCAACTACGAGGGCGAAATGCTGCCGAAGAAGTTGGTGGATATGCAAGAATACTACTATCTGGTAAGGAAATACAAGGATAAGCTTAAAAGGGCTATCTAGGTTCTTAAATATGCTAGAATCCTTTTTTGTATAGCCAACTTATTTCAGGCTTGCTCTACAGGCGTCAACGGTGGCAGGTTTGGGGGGGTATAGTGATAATCAACGTCGCACTCTTGTTTGTCGTCATCATGGTACCGTGTAAATTAGCTTTCATTCACTTATATACGTCGGTAATCTCGTTCCTTAGGGAAACTGTCACTTGCTAGTTAGTCCTCTTTTTGGGAGCTGTTATGTTCCGTAGTACTACCACATACACCCCGTGCAGGTGCCAATGCCAGCGAATCATGGCGCAAAAGTAAAATTCCTTTGACAGAGATTGTCCTTCTAAGCAAGGCCGCGATTCATTAATTCGGGAAATTGAAGCCGAGGACTCCAGAGAGTAGCCTAGATGCCCTAGGTCTTGACATAATATTTCTATTAGTGAAAAAAGAACCCACTGCTTTTGGCTTGGCGCAACGAGTCCTGCTAGAGTCATAGATGCCTAATAGCGGTTGAGAGACCTGAGTGGTTTCAACAGTGTTAAATACAAACTTCTTGGGGAGAGTGTTGAGTCCTTGTTTAATTCTAGATTTTTCACAAATTCGTGGTTCGTGGCACAATGCAGACGGCAGTGGATGAGCCACCAGTTCATTGCCAGGGAATCCAGACAACTCCAGGGAAGCACTGATAACAGTGATGGCTACAAATCTAGTGATACACTCAGGACAACAGAATACTAGTATTGCCATGAGATATAGCGGACTTTTTCATTAATCGGACTACTTCAGCCTCAGTACTGACGAGCTACCCGGCTTCGTAACAAGAGATGCCCGCGTCTTTTCTTGATCAAAAGCCCTCGCTACGGAAGTAACATCTTGAAACTATGACAAGAGATAGAGAGGTACTGTCAATATAACATGCCACTGATATCCTGTAAGAACGCTCAAGCTTGTTTCTGCGTAACCCAATCTGACTTTGAAGGTATCAGTTAGAGGTCTTTCGGTAACTGTCGGCAATATTATCAGTAACATGCTGTCGCTTCTCCACAGACGCCTGTGCAGACTTCTTGAGCTGTGATTCTTGCCCAGTAGTGGCCAGCTTGTACGAATCCGTTCCGTATTCCTTCCCACGCCGAGATGCAGATGCAGTACCCTGATTCGTCAAAGTCTTGGCATTAGATGCGGAGATACCGAGTTGGAATTCTGCCTGCTGACGGGAGGAACCTTGGTCTTTGGACGACATGTTGCAGGTGTGGCTCTAAGAGAGGATACTAAAGTCGGAACCTTTTAGGCACCTGGAGTAAAGATTTCAATACAGAATACATACCGAAAGTTACAATCAAAGGTGTATTTCTTCTTGAGTAGTAATGTGAGCCAGGTTTATTATCATTTCCATGACTTGAACATAGTGGGAGAGCCATGAGTTATGTTCCAAACTTGGAGGTCCGTTTTGAGGACTCGGTCAAGGCGGCCATCTTCGTCGTCAAGTAGCAGTATCAACTGCTGGCCAATACCAACACCGCCCCAGAGTCAAAGCTCTCGTGTTGGGTGAACATGGAAAAGGTCATGAGGAGATTAACAGCCAATAGACTAGTTCAGATGATGCCAAATATGTTCACCATCAATGGATATCTGTCTTGGCTTAGGCCGTGGACTGTTGGTGATATGTGTCTGTCAATGCTTTGTAATCGCATTATGGGCCAAATAATGGTCCCGGCGTTACGAGAGAACTCGAGCACGTATTCCCAACGGCATTTCTGCAGCTTGACGTTTACCCAAACGTCGTCCAACGTCGTTGTGAAAGTGTGGTCTTATTGGATCGAGGTGTCACCAGGCAGGTGGGACTGTCAGATGAACAAGACACAGACACTTTCCTTGTCCCCAACCCAACTCAAGCAGGCCCAATCGACAAGTTCATCGGTGTCGTACCAGTAATCCTTCTTTTCTCGTACTCCTCACCCTTCTTTGAGCATTGCCTCTATATGGAAACGACAAAGACGATGGAACCTCGCATGCGTTTCGACGACGTAGCCTGGGAGGAAAGCGAGAACATCGAAAGCGCCTGGGTGAGGGACATCCTAAAGGAAGAATCGCAGCGAGCAATTGGAGACTTTATCGTCAAACATCGTCAGGGTGTTCCTACAGAGTTATGTGATCCCAAGGCCGGCGCCTTCAACGTCCTCTTCCGCATGAAGTTCCAGGACGGCGGGTCGGCCGTGATTCGCTTTACCAAGCCAGGTTGCACCATGTTTCCCGAAGAGAAAATCCAGAACGAGGTAGCGACGATAAGATATATCCAGGATAATACGTCTATACCCGTGCCTTTTATCCTGCACTGGGGGCCAAGAGAAGAAAGCCCCCTCGGACTCGGCCCATTCATTATTATGGAATACATCAACCATGAGACGGACATTTGTAAAGTTCTCAACATACCTGAACTGCATTGGGAAGATCGACCTCGCCTTAATCCGCATATAAACCTGGAAAAGCTTGAGATGCTATACTACCAACTCGCAGATGTGTTGTTACAGCTATCCAAGCTGGAATTTCCACATATAGGTTCGCTCGAGGAGGTCAAGGAGTTTGAGTCGGAAGCTCGACGTCGGCCACTCTCTATTCATATGAATGAGCTTATAAGGCTGGGGACTCTACCGCGAAACAAGTTGCCGAGCGGGACCTTTACCTCGTCGTTTGACTACTTCGAGGCTTTATCACAGCTTCATATTGATCATTTAGCGCACCAACGAAATGATGCGGTGGACTCAGAGACGGATTGCCGGCGCAAGTATGTCGCCAGACAGTTATTCCGTAAGCTCGTCAGGCAACGCCGGCTACTATCCAAGGCGCACGCTGACGGTCCGTTTAAACTATGGTGTGACGATCTACGGCCATCAAACGTTCTATTAGATGCGAATATGCAAATTGTTGGGGTAGTAGACTGGGAATTCACATATGCTGCGCCAGTTGAGTTCTCCTTCTCTCCTCCTTGGTGGTTGCTCCTCGAACAGCCAGAGTACTGGCCAGAAGGCGTGGAGAATTGGAAAGAAATATACGATAGTCGGCTTAAGACATTCTTGAAGGCGATGACAGACGTCGAGGATGCCGCTATAGCGTCAGGCCGGCTTGATGAGGCCCAGCGACTGTCGCCTCGGATGAAGGAGAGCTGGGGCAGCGGGGAGTTTTGGGTAATTTACGCGGCGCGGAAAAATTTCGCTTTTGACTCCATCTTTTGGCGGGAGCTGGATCCACGATTCTTTGGGAATCCTGGGGTGGCGCAGGAAGATTCCTGGAGGAAGAGGTTGCATATGCTGGACGAACTTGAGAGATCATGTATGGAGGAGCTGGTGGAAAGAAAGATGAAGGAGATGGGGACGAGGGTTTTAGCATGGGAAGTAGATGAATAATTGTCCATATTATTAATTCATATAAAAAAAAAGGTTACGCAGTCGCAAGGGCCTACTAGTAGTATTATATACGGGGGGGGGGGGGGGGGGGGGTAGTAGTAAATAGTTTAAAAAAAACACCTAGTGCACGTATCACGATACGTTAAACGCACTAGCTTACGTAGCAGGAACACCGATAAACTAGATAAAAAGAAATAACCTAATATTATAATATATATATCTAGTGGGTTTAACACATCGCGATGCGTGTCGGCAGTGTTTTACGTGTTACTGTCAATTAAGCCAGGTACAACTATTGATTCTGTTACTAGTGGGTCCTGGTGATTAACTAGCCTTTTTTTTTATAATAATTTACAAAAAATAATTTAATAAAAAAAGGCTAGATAATCACAAGGGCCCACTAGTAGCACAATCAATTAGCCGTACCAGGCATTCATAACAGTAACGCGTAATATAAAAAAACACTAAACGCATCGCGATATGTTAAACGCACCAGCTTAGGAGGTGATTTTTGACCGCACGCGCCGGTAAAAGCCATTTGGAGATGGGGGGGGGGAATCAAGAAGAACACCAGGGAGCTAATCAATAAAAAGTAACCCTATGTCATAGTCTTTCCCCTCATTGCGGAGGGATAATATAAGGTTATTTCTTTTTAATTAGTCCCCGGTATTCTTCTTAACATTGCTACCTATCCAAGTAGCCAAGACGGTCTCTGGATAGCTTTCGCCGGCGTGTGCGGTCATGAATCACCTCCTGAGCTAATGCGTGTACTCCGTGGTCTTGCATGACCAACTAGCCCTCTTTCTTTATTTTTTGAATACCTTGCGGGTGTGTGTTTTTGATGTTTGGAAGCAGGTGTGACCGGGCTTGGAACGTGGCGTTCAATTCAAACTGTGTTAATCGACTTGGGGACAGTAAAGATCTAAAGTTTCTCATGAAATCTTGGGGGGGCGGAAGGTCTATAAATACAAAAATTCGGTGAGGGCTAGTGCCTGAGGCAACCCTCGCTTAGGACCGACTTCGGGCCTCGTGATCCTTCCTAATGTTACTCCGTACTGGTGTAACCGTTGTTAGCCCAACGCTCTTTGTTGCGGGCCAATCGTGTGGCAGCAGGTCAATACGTACGTACGTACCTTGTCCCGCAAGATAACACGGCAGAGCGATCAAAGAGCCCTCATGTTTTCATGACGAGTATCTCGGGAAGGAGAATAGAATGTCCCCTCGGAACCTCCCTGCTAGCTGCAGGTCACCTACACAAATAAAGAAATTTCCTACTTCCCAGAAAGTAAGCCGAGTAGGAATTGGCATGTTCACGTTTCGTTGAATTGACACCTTGTTTGCTCCTGTCTGCAACAAGAACACGAGCGCCATGCAAGCAAAAGCCCAAGCAGCAACCCGAGTCATCATCTAGCTTATATAGCATCCCAACGCCCAGAACTATTGCAAGAACCCTCGCCACAATAGTTCTGACACTGTCGTCGAGTTCTTCAAGCCCTGCCATGGATGCCCTGTAGCCTATGTTTATCGAAACGACTCTAATGGCAAATGCCCCAAGGAGCAGTACGTTTCCTCAAGGTTGCCGTTACGTACTTAAGTAGGTAAACCGTATTAGTGCTCTTTTCCCCATCACCACCAAGGATATCTTCCCCAACTTTAACGTTTCGTTCTTGTTAGCCAATCAGTTTTTAAAAAAGCACATGATCAAACTATGCTTTGACATGGTTTATTAAGGATGTGCGGTTCGAACTCCAAAGCAGTAAATATTAATTTAGTCAGGCGGGACGATATGCCAGCCTATTCAAATCATTTGTAAGTATTAGAGCCCTATATGCAAGGAAGCTATGGGTATCCCGCAAAACAAAGGTTGAAAGTGAAGCATGCGTCCTCCAAGCACATGAGTGTCTTATCAACTTACACAAGATAGGCGTTGGAAGCCTGACTTATTTAAACTTTGATCACACCCTTTCAGTCGCACTTTCAACTTCGCATCTATTTTTTCCCTCGTTGCTCAAAGCAGTTCCGAGTGACATACCCAGGCTCGTCGGTTGTGCTTCAACGCTGCGAAGAACGGGTTGTGATAAAACCCACACGTCGCTAGTACATCTTTCAAAATGGGCCATCCGCCCAGATTTAACAGTAGTGAGCAAAATCCAAATGACAACTCTACCTCATACTCCCTCAGCTTTGTGCCTTAGCAGATCCACGTCCGGTTTCCAGCCTTCCCACTTTCGACACCCGTGGAACTTGTAGAGATGCTGCCACATGTGATCCTTCCTGGTGAAGCTCCTGTCCTGAACCGCACGCTTGGCGCATGATTCAAACTCGTGCGACTGGAAATGCTCTTCTGTCGGGGATGATTGTCCGCAAAAGATACACTCTGCCTGTGTCTGACCCAGTCTCCAGATGACGTAGGGCTGCTCGGGCGGTAATGGAATGGCACAAACCCACGACGTGTCGCCAGGGGCATGGACCGATCGCTCATGTCGAAGCCAATCATATTTTTTGTTGAAGTTGCGCGAGCAGTAACTGCACGTAAAAGTACGAGCCTTTGATCGTTTCGATCTTGCCGATGCTGACTTCACCCATGCAGGGTGGCCACGCTCTTCCAAGCTCCTTCCAGACAGAACGACGTCACTGTTAACAGACGCACGCGAGTAGTTGGATAAAGACCCATCAGAGGAGTAATGCAACGCCGAGTGAGAGTACAACATTGAATCTGTACTTGCTGAAGACCCTAAATCATCGTCATCGCCTGGTGCCCCTATCTCATGGTGAATATTTGAGTTGGAACCGATTGCCTTCTGAATAGCTGCTTCTGAGACTGGTTCACTGTCTGGGG